TTTGGACAAAGAGAGAGAGAGAGAAAGTGAGAAAACAAGCTGCCAGGTCCAGGACTTGAACCATGGTCAGCCATGTGGGAGTCCAACACTTCAACCACTACGCCACCTTCCGGCCCCTCATTTACTCTTATATACCCACTAGAACTTCATCATAGGGACCTGCCCTAATGACATCAGACCCAAAGGTCCCACCCTGAGATGCTATGAAGGAATTGAGTTTTTACCTAACAGTACAATCCAATATTGTTTAGTACTGGAATCTTGGCGAACCATCCACATTCAAAAACATGAGCTTTTGGGGGACAAATCATTTCCTAAACCATAGCAGGATTCTCTGATTAGTTAATACCTGGAAGTAACAAAAAAAAAAAAAAAAAAAGAAGAGACCAGCCTGAGTTTCATTCAGAATCTTGTCTGAGATGAACATCAGATAAAGTATGAGTAGTGAGTACAGGGGAGACAAAACCCTTCTCCAATCTACCAGTGGAGAAAGCCAATGAGTTAACTGGTTTCAGTGATTTAAAATACACAAAAGGAGATAGAATTTCTCAGTGATTTGTTTAGGGGAATGAATGAACATGTGCAGCAGACACTGAATAGGAGAGAGTCACTTCTCAGATATATTCTTAGTTAATTTGTAAGTCAATTCTGAGCTACCTTGGTCCTGTTCGTTGTGAGGACTCTCATAAAAATTTTGTATTCGATAAGTTTCCAACCCAGCCAAAGTGGTGTAAGCCAGGATTCTGCTTCTGTGTAAGCCTGGGGCCATGTGCGAAACCAGGGTTCAGTTTCTGGACCAACTGATTCAAGCTATGTTTCGTGGTGCACACCCATAGTCCTTGCTTACTGGGAGACTGAAGCAGGAGGATTGCAACATGGCGGAACACTGCCAAACAGACCATCAAGCCTTGTCAAAAACACCTATATCCCTCGTTCTGTCTCTCTCTCTTCTCCTACTCTCTCATTAATAATAATAATAATAAAGTTCTTAGGTTTGCTGACATTCAGCAAAGGTCATGGCTATGCATATAATATTAAAATAATTTCAAAGGTTTTTGACTACCTGAGAAAGGGGTGGCATGACAAGACCTATAGGAGCTTAAAGCTCAAGTTAACCTTGACCTTCACCCGTGCTACAGTAAACATCATAGTCAATGTCTGTTGATTTCTTAATGTACCTAGAAGTGATTGTGCTGAGTAAATTTCATAAATTATCATATTAAGATTTCATCATAACATTAAGAGAGAGAGAGATAATCAAAAAGTTTGCACAAGAATTGAGAAACAGATTAAAAAAAAATTTTTCTGTAACTCTTACAGTTGGAAATGATTGATGGGAGCCATGGGACAAAGCTTGGTGAGAGGACATTAGGTTTTATCAGAGTTAGAGCATCGACATTTGTCGTTTGTCCTGTCCTGGGGTAGGGTAAAGAAAGAGAACTGACATCTGGCCCAAACTCTCTGGATCTCCAAAAGTCAATCTCTAGGACAGTAATATATGGATTAGGTGGTCAATAAATGATCGATGGCTTAATGGACATCTCTCTCTTTTTCAATGATTGAAAAACAGGATTTATATTCTATTCGGATAGAATCTAAAATATACCAAGCAGAGCCACCCTGTGGCATAGTCGCTAAGGCAGCTGGATCCATTATGGTCTACTTTGCAGGCTGGGTCCTGGACTCAAAAGCTTGGAAAACGTAACAGCATGTGTGCATGTGTGCCCGAAATCTACAGAGGAGAGATGGATGACCAAACCCCATGGGAGGTTCTCTCTCTCCCTCCCTCCCTCCCTCCCTCTATGGAGAGTACCTGTACCCTTTAAGAAATTAGAAACAAAAACAGACAAAAAAGCCTGGTATAAGGTAGATGTTGGATAATGTTGCATCATTTCTTTTCATAACTGCCACTGGACAGGCTTGTCTTGAGGCATGATTTGGGAGAACTGTGTGGACACACTTCTGTCTTAGACTGCTGGCATTAGGAATACCTTGAGTTTGATAAACCTTTAATTATATTTAAGGATTATCAAACTGAGACCATTGTTGATCCTAAATGAGAAAAGCAGTTTTTGCAGACTCTAATGGGTACATTTATCATTTCTTTATCCTACTGAGCTTGAGGCGTATTGTTATCTACTTTCTAAGAAAGTAGAAATGCTATTTCTTTGAATAAAAATGTTCTTTATAATGCGAGTCATCGATTGAAGCCGTACAGATTGGTTCTTTAATGAAAGAGGCAACATTCCAGTGGAACTGACAAGCTTTATTTCTATTTGTTGTGTTTTTTTTTTCTCATTACAGATGGACCCGATTCAGAAAGCTGTAATAAATCATACATTTGGGGTTCCTCTTCCTCATCGAAGAAAGCAAATCATATCATGCAACATTTGCCAGTTGAGATTTAATTCTGATGTAAGTTTATCATTTACTTTTCACTAAAAAAAAAAAAAAATGTATTGTGCTTTTCTAATCTTGCAGGAGAAAAGATTTCTTAAACATTTTTCTGCAATAACTGAGTATGTCAAAATTCAAAGATAGCGTTTTAACTCCTGATGTGCTCAAGGGGTGTATTACACTATGTGTGGTTGTTTACTACAGAAGAATCCTACATAGGCAGTCTTATCAACTTGCAGAGTAATGGTACTTTTTAAGTCTCTTGGGAATGCCAAATGTATGCAGTACACTTTACTCATAGGGAGTAGGCAAATGTTGGACCAATGAGGCTTCCACCTCTGAAATCAGATAGATACCAAACTGTATTGGTTCCTTTCTTTCCCTTTTCTTTTCTTTTCTTTTCTTTTATTAAGGTTATTTCCTTATGGTACATGTGCTAGCTGCACAGAGAGAGTGAGAGGGAAAGTAAGAAATAATCCACTGCGGGGGATGGCCACACCACAGTCCCTTCTTCATTCTCTTTCTTGGATTTGGGGCATGCACGCACGTCCTCCCATGTGATTTTTCAAGCTACCAGGTCCGAGTCTTAAACCATAGTCAGTCATGTGGGATCCGGCACCTTAACCACTATGCCAGCTGCTGACCCCCTAAACCATTTTTCAAGAACATGATTTTGGCTTTGTGAACTTTCTTTACCTGCCATAGAGGCCGTTCATCCCAGGGGTTAGCCCTGTGTTCTCACTGCTTCAGGAGTAGTAGCATTTTAACATAGTCTTTTCATAAAATATTATCTTACATTCCCCTGGTAAAAAGAAAGTAGCAATTTCTTTTGATGAAGTTTCAGGGTGACACAGGGATCAACGTGTACTTATCAGGAACAGCTGGCTTCTCGTGCTCATAACTTGGCTTTCATCAGGCATGTGCTTAAAGGAAAATGGATTGAAACTAAACAGTTACAGCCTGGCCCACTCCGTAGATGGCTACCGCATTAGTGTTCTCTTGTGGCGCTCACAAATTACCATCAACTTTTGGCTTGAAACACCCGTAACACCTAACGCTTGTGGAGGTGATAAGTCTGAAATATTTCTCACCAGGATAAAGTCAAGGTATTGGCGGGGTTATGTTCCTCTCGGAGGCTCTAGGGGAAATTCATTTCTTTGTTTTTCCAGTTTCTAAAGCTCCCACCTTTCCTTGGCTGGTCACCCTCTTTCATCCTCGGAAACAGCAATGGCTGCTTCAGTCCTTCCTCCGTCCAATCATCCTGACTCTCACCCTCCCGCCTTTCTCTTCCGCATTTACAGATCCTTGTGATCACAGTGGGTCCACTTGGGGAACACAGGGTACTTGCCCTATTCGAGATCAGCTGCATCACAACCCAAATTCCATCTGCTAAGTTAGTATCTCTTCATCATGCAATATAACATGGTTGTAGTTTTCGGGCATCGGGATTTAAACCTCATTGAGAGGCTGCTATTCTGCCTCACACATAGTTTATTGGGATGTCTGACTTCAGTTTGGACTGACTTTCATGACCACTTAAATGTGTCAGATTATTACCCAGTTTTTTGATCTGTATAAGCACTCAGAGCCTTTACATTTTTTTTTATTTTCTTAAATCTTGGATATACATTTTCTATGCAGTGCTAATTTTAAAACTGAGTTTTAATTATTTATTTATTTTAAAATAGGGAGATCCTATGTTGAGTTTATATACACGGCACCACCACATTTATCTGTGTTTTACAAACAAAACATAATTATTGCAGATTCGAAATACAGAAGTGGAAATTCTTTCAGAAACTAAAAATAACTGTCTATAAGAATGTGTACCGACACAAGGAACTCGTGTAGTAGCAATATTAGATGTGTTTACATTGACTCATCATGTCCATAAATATTCACTGGATAACATCTTTACATACTGAAGGCTAAAATCAATTGGATAATCAAATGATGTATATGCAAGAAGAGGGTCTATGCGTAAAGAAAAACACAGCTAGCGGGTGGTGTGAAGGTAAAGCTGGCCCCACTTTGAGTCCCAAACTGGCTGCTCAAAAAATCATGTTGGGTGTGTGTGTGTGCCCAAAATCTCAAGAAAATGGAGGAGATTGTGGTGTGGCCATTTCCACTGGGTGGGGGGGTGATTTCTCACTTTCTCTCTCCCTCTCCCTCTCCCTGGCAAGCACACACACTCTATAGCAAAACAAAAACAAAACAACAACAAAAAAATATATATACATAGCATACTACATCATTTTAATCTTTTTTTTTTTTTTTTTAGGCGGTTTTTGCTATAGGGCGCGGCTATAGGGCACGTGCGCTTGCCAGAAAGACAGAGAGAGACAGAGAGACAGAAAGCGAGAAATCACCCCCACAAAGGGTATGGCCACACCACAATCCCTTCTCCTCCATTCTCCTCTCGGGATCTTGGGCACACATACACACACACCTGGCATGAGTTTAAGCCACCAGGTCTGGGACTTGAACCACCATCAACCACATGGGAGTCCAGCGACATAGCCATTATGCTATCTCCTGTTCCCATTTTAATCTTAATAAAAGGCTAATTCCAATAGAACTATACTTTGGCTCTTTCCCATTAAATAGAGAATTTTTCTTTCTATGTCCATTTTTTTAAAATAATTTCCCTACATTCATTTTAAAAGAATTATTTCATTTAACCTTATCCACTTACTTATTTATTTAAATTTGACCAGAGAGAGACAGAGTGAGAGAGGTGAGAGAGAGCAAGAGAGGAAGTAAGAAAGCAAGCCACCAGGTCCAGGACTCGAACCGTGGTCAGCCGTGTGGGAGTCTAGCACCCTTAACTACCACGCCACCTGCCGGCCCCATCTAATTTTATTTTTATACAAAGAATCTTTCTAGGGGAAAAAATGTCACTGCGATGGTTGTATACTTGATTGAATCCAATATCACATAGTAGAGTATTTTTGCCTTATGAATCTTTTTACATTTCAGAGATTCCAATGAAAATAATAGCTTGTAGTTCTTTTCATCTCTAGAACATGAGAATTCAATTTCCTTTCCCTCTAAGCTTTTATTTGTTTTTTAACCCTTCCTGTGGTGTACCAGATAGTTCTTTGTTTTACCAAACTTTTCTTCCTTTTGGTATAGTTTCCATTTGGGGCCCTTCAGATAGCTTTAAAAGGGTTATGTATATTTTAAATCAGATTGTCTTTTCCTGGTATAGGCACTTCTCAACCGACAGTCATATGACACCTAAGTGGGGTATAAAGAGAGCTTCCAATTAAAGCCTGAAATGTGTAATTTGTCCAGTTATTTTATCAACATGTTAAAATAAGCATAAGTGACCATGTGGCCTGGGCTTGTTATTATGTATGCCTTTGAAAGACAACTTATAGCAGGGCCAACGTGAAGTCAGATTGTGAATTGAGATAGAAAAATGAATATTCAATGTTTGTTTATAGAACGAGAAATCAGATGTTGGGTCCCAAACTAGGAAATTGTAAAACCATGGCCTCCAAGTATTTTGCCTCCTGACAGCAGAATATCCCATGTTAGAGACAGAAGAGATCGTTTGCTAGTTTCACATGCAGAAGCTGAGGTGCAGAAAACATAGATTTGTACGAGGCCAGTGGTCAGGAGGTGGCTGGAGGTGATATTGTCCACTTTTCTGCTGGTTATGCCTCACCTCGTCAAGGTAGAGCAGCAAGTCTATTTTAAAGCTGCAGCAAATGCTACAACAAGGACTTGGATGAAGAGCTATCTTTTTCCCACTCAGTCAGACTGACCTAAAAATGGGGCCTGAAGGTTCCTTACCTTACAAAATTAATTGGCGGAGTCAGACCTGTTATGGAAAGTCATTCAGTGTCTAGGTCTCACCCGCAAAGTACACATGGCATCACTCACAGCTCATGCAATAAACTTGTTGACGATTTAACTAGAAATTCACATTAGTGTGGGACCAGCAGATGGCATAATGGTTGCATCGCTGGACTCCCACATAGTGAACCGCATTTCGACTCCTGGACCCGGTGTCTTAAAACTCACACTGGGTGCTTGTGCATGCGTGCCCAAAATTCAGAGAGGAGAATGGAGGAGAAGGGATTGCAGCATGGCCATCCTCCCCTAGGGGGTGATTTCTCACTTTCTGTCTCTGTCTCTCCAGTGAGTACATGTGCCCTATAGCAAATATCCCTCTCTCTCTAGGAAAAGAAAAGAAATAAGAAATGCGCATTACTGAGCTATAATATAGTGACCGTATGTCCTTGATGACTTAGGACTGTCAAACATTATTTGCTTTGGGAAATTCTTTGACAAACCAGAAGAAGAAAAACCTTAGTAGAAGACAGCCTTACTTGGAGACCTCAGACCCCTGCACAGGGAGATCCTGGGGGTCATCACCTGAATAATGGATACGTTTTCAGGTAGTGTTCTGGAACAGAAGTCAGTCTGTCTGTAAGGCTAGGGCCCTATGGAAAGGTCTGGGCTCCTTGCCCTGAGATTTCCCTGTAAACACTGAGAGCTCGCTTGAGTGCTTGTGGCCCAGGTCAGCTGAGGCTGAGGGTGGATGAAGGTCTTCTACAGCATGAAGACCCTGCTGGGTTGCCCCTCCCTGCCAGGGAGGAAATAAGTAAACTTTAAAAAGAAAGCGGGCCGGCAGGTGGCGTGGTGGTTAGGGTACTGGACTCCCACATGGGCAACCACTGTTCAGGCCCAGGCTTGCTTTCTCACTTTCCCTTTCTCTCTGTCCCTCTCGGGTCAAATTAAAAATAATAATAACAAATTTAAAAAGTAAATAAAAAAGTAAAAAATATGTAATTCTGCATTTTAGAACCTAGAAGTCTAATAAAACTAAGCAATGCATCTGGCTTTGGCTCCTAGCTCCTTGTTACAATACCCAAGCGTGTCAATATGATAATATGATAGGAGTATGGGAATGTGGGAAGGACTCTAGGTCTGCTGATAGGAGAATTTATTTTTCCTAATGGTTAAGTTAGTAATTATACTTTCTTAACATCATGTCATATGACATT